TGATGGAGGCCAGCAGCATGGGCCAGAACCACCAAACCTGCAAATACGACCTGCTGAGCAGCGTCCCATGTGAGTCCTGGGAGGGGGGTCTGAGGTCCAGAACCTGGTCTTGTTTGTGTGATCCTGTAGTGACAGACCTGGATCTGAAAGCCCAGAACCTGGTCTTGTTTGTGTGTTCTTGCAGTGACAGACCTGGATCTGAAGGTCCAGTACCGGGGCCGGACGGCGGCCTCCTTGCTGGTCTCCAACCCTCAGGGCTGTCGGCTGTACGCGGGTCACCTGGAGCCCAGCCCCGACCAGGTGGAGCTGTTCGGGCCCGTCACCCTGCAGCAGGTCCAGTTCCCTGGGACCTCCGAGATCCAGAACCAGAAGCAGAAGTTCTACACCGACGCCCTCCTGGACGTCATGGACCGAGGCCTGATCCTGGAGCTCTGGGAGCAGGACCTCTACGCAGTCCGGCTCTGCCAGTGCAAGGTGTTCTGGTCCGTGCCCGGGACCTCCGAACCCGGACCCCCCAACCCTCTGGAGCGCGAGAAGAAGGTCCGGGTCTTCAGCCTCAATGACTTCTTGCAAGGTAGGTTGAAGAATCCCTGAACTGTTCCAGACCTCTACCCCCTTCAGCTGGTCTTAAACCTGTTTCTGTACCCAGGCCTGATCCTGTTCCAGAGGGGCGAGACTCCGAACCCGCCCCCCTTTGAGGTTTACTTCTGCTTCGGTGAGGACTGGCCCGACAAGAAACCCAAAGAGAAGAAACTGATCATCGTCCAGGTCTGTTCCTCTTCCTTTGGGGGGCCCTTCAGTGGTGGCTCGGATCCTGAGATGTAAACCTGTTTAACATGCTTCTGGTCCTGGTCCTCAGGTGGTCCCCGTGGTGGCCCGGATCCTCACGGAGATGTTCTCTGGGGAACTCAGCTGGTCTACAGACAGCATCCGGCTCCAGATCTCCAACCCAGACGTGAAGGACCGGACTGTGGAGCAGTTCAAGGAACTGCAGAGGCTCCTGCAGAGCCAGCACATCCAGGGGCCCTGGACCCCCAACGTGCCCTAGACCTGGACCCCTGCCCTCTCCTGAACCCTTCTCTTGAACCAGGACCCCTGACGTCTCCTGAACCTCAACCCCTGCCCTCTCCTGAACCCTTCTCCTGAACCAGGACCCTTGACCTCTCCTGAACCAGGACCCCTGCCCTCTCCTGAACCAGGACCCCTGCCCTCTCCTGAACCCTCTCCTGAACCAGGACCCCTGCCCTCTCCTGAACCCTCTCCTGAACCAGGACCCCTGCCCTCTCCTGAACCCTCTCCTGAACCAGGACCCCTGCCCCTCTCCTGAACCCTCTCCTGAACCAGGACCCCTGCCCTCTGATGAACCACACTGTAAAAGATACAGAGTTAAATCTGATGTACCACACTGTAAAAGATAGAGTTAAATCTGATGAACCACACTGTAAAAGATACAGAGTTAAATCTGATGTACCACACTGTAAAAGATAGAGTTAAATCTGATGTACCACACTGTAAAAGATAGAGTTAAATCTGATGTACCACACTGTAAAAGATACAGAGTTAAATCTGATGAACCACACTGTAAAAGATAGAGAGTTAAATCTGACGTACCACACTGTAAAAGATAAAGAGTTACATCTGACGTACCACACTGTAAAAGATACAGAGTTAAATCTGATGAACCACACTGTAAAAGATACATAGTTAAATCTGATGTACCACACTGTAAAAGATAGAGAGTTAAATCTGATGTACCACACTGTAAAAACACACAGATAACAGCAAGATATGGTATCTCTGAGTTGGACCTTGAAGGCAGCATCTCCCTGGTTCTGAGTTGGTCCCTGAAGGCAGCATCTCCCTGGTTCTGAGTTGGTCCCTGAAGGCAGCGTCTCCCTGGTTCCGTGTTGGTCCCTGAAGGCAGCATCTCCCTGGTTCCGTGTTGGTCCCTGAAGGCAGCATCTCCCTGGTCCTGTGTTGGTCCCTGAAGGCAGCATCTGCCTCCCAAGAACAGCTCGCCTCTCTGCCTTATTTTACATAGTGGGTTATAGAACCGGAAGTTTGTTGCTTGGGAGACAACAGAGAGTCACCCCCGTGTCCCCGACTGCGGTCTGGGAGCCGACAGGAAAGTTCAACAATAGTATAAGCATGTTTATAATATATTATATATTTTAAGCATGTATTATCCGAGGGGAAAAAGTGTCTTCCAATTTCCTTTTTTTTGTGATTTCCTACCTATTTAGGGTTAAAAAAACATCTTGCAATTTAGACCTTTTTTATTTTATTTTTAAATGTTACAGTATTTCCACTGTAGAGGACGTCGGGACCATCTCAGTTTGAAAAGACAGCCAAACTAACAGACTATGTAACGTATTGTGGTTATAGAGTGATATTAATACAAGAATACATTCACCTTTATTTAAAACATAATTAAGTAATTGATCTGAACATTGCTGTTTATTTGGTCAATAAAAAACTAGTTTGGTTTTTGGTGAATCTTTCCAGATCTTCAAAGACTTTGTAGTCAATGTACTGAAAGTACTCCAGTCAGCACGGGCTGTAGGGTCATCTCGACTAGTTTCATGGATGTGGTCTCCATTTGACCTGCTCATAGAAACAAAGCTTGCATTCCTGAGGCAACTCTCATCATGGCTCCACTTCAAATAAAAACAACAATAAGACATACGTGCTACTCTTGGCCCACAGGGGGCCATGTCTTTCCAGCTCGTCCCTATCTGTCTCTCTGTATGTGTCTGTGCGCTCATGGAGCCTCCTGCATCTTTCCCCCCTTCTTCTTGACCCTCTTCTATCCCAGGTGTGAAATCCTCACCTCTCTCATCATCTGAGATCTGAGAGCTCATCATCTGAGAGCTCATCCGCTGAGAGCTCATCCTCTGAGAGCTGAGAGCTCATCCTCTGAGAGCTGAGAGCTCATCCTCTGAGAGCTGAGAGCTCATCCTCTGAGAGCTGAGAGCTCATCATCTGAGAGCTCATCCGCTGAGAGCTGAGAGCTCATCCTCTGAGAGCTGAGAGCTCATCCTCTGAGAGCTGAGAGCTCATCCTCTGAGAGCTGAGAGCTCATCCTCTGAGAGCTTATCATCTGAGAGCTCATCCTCTGAGAGCTGAGAGCTCATCCTCTGAGAGCTTATCATCTGAGAGCTCATCCTCTGAGAGCTGAGAGCTCATCCTCTGAGAGCTTATCATCTGAGAGCTCATCCTCTGAGAGCTTATCATCTGAGAGCTCATCCTCTGAGAGCTGAGAGCTCATCCTCTGAGAGCTTATCATCTGAGAGCTCATCCTCTGAGAGCTGAGAGCTCATCCTCTGAGAGCTTATCAGCTGAGAGCTCATCCTCTGAGAGCTGAGAGCTCATCCTCTGAGAGCTTATCATCTGAGAGCTCATCCTCTGAGAGCTTATCATCTGAGAGCTCATCCTCTGAGAGCTGAGAGTTTATCCTCTGAGAGCTGAGAGCTCATCCGCTGAGAGCTGAGAGCTCATCCTCTGAGAGCTGAGAGCTCATCCTCTGAGAGCTGATCCTCTGAAGATGATGAAGATGAGAGCTCATCCTCTGAGAGCTGATCCTCTGAAGATGATGAAGATGAGAGCTCATCATCTGAGAGCTCATCCTCTGAAGATGATGAAGATGAGAGCTCATCATCTGAGAGCTCATCCTCTGAAGATGATGAAGATGAGAGCTCATCATCTGAGAGCTCATCCTCTGAAGATGAAGATGAGAGCTCATCCTCTGAAGATGATGAAGATGAAGATGAGAGCTCATCCTCTGAACCCCCTGAACTTTCTGGTGCAGGAAATGTCTGCTTCAGTTCCGTCTCCTGCAACGATATTGAGTCATTAAGTCCATGAAGACGGTCCTGACGTCCACCAGGATGGACATTTATGCTAAAACAATGTCGGACACCGTAATCTTCTCTGGTCCCCTCCCCAATCTGATCAATGATGACATGTATAGCCGCATGTCATCATTTCAGCGCTGGTTGTCTTGGTGGTGCCCAGCAAACAATGTGGGCTTCGTAAATAATTGGACAGCCTTCTGGGGAAAAGCTGGTCTGATTAAGAGAGACGGCATTCATCCTACTTTGGAAGGTGCAGATCTCATTTCGGCAAACATTGCAGGGCTTTGTGGACTTAATCCATGACAAACTGGAGTTGAGACCAGGAGGAGGAGTCGCAGTCTTACACGCTTCTCTGCGCTCTCTCCTAGGCAGTCATCCATAGGAATCCCGAACCCAATAAAATACCCAATATTAGCGGTGTGTGTGTCTGCCCAAGGACAAGTTAAGGTAAAACCTAACAGAGGTGTCATACATAATAACCTAATACAAGTAAATGTAACAACTACTACAGTGCAACAAAACAGGCAGATTAAATGTGGTCTCTTAAACATAAGATCTCTAGCATCTAAAGCAATATTGGTAAATGATTTAATATCAGATTATAATATTGATATATTGATATATGCTATACGATATATGAGCCACAGCTCAATTGAGCCTTCTATTCCCATAGCACTCAGTAGCAATGATTTTATGTGCTTTTTTAATGATAAAATTGTTACTCTTAGAAACAAAATGAATGACCTCTTGCCTTTGACCAGTATAGTGTTATCAACAGCTCCCGGAAACGTAAGTTCTAATATTACACTAGATCAGGGGTGCCCAACCTTTTTTTAACCGAGAGCTACTTTTAAAGTTGCCAGTCTGCGGAGATCTACCAGTCCAAATAGAGGCGTAGTTACTGACAACCTACTACCAGGTAAATACACACTTCTACTTGTATAAAACTGACCTTTGTACGATGAATACTTCATAAAATACTGCAGATCCTTTATCTTACCTCTTTCTAATCTACACACATACAAGTATTTAACTGAAGTTACACAACAGTGTTGTTGATACAGAGTTGGAGTTTATTCACACGTCACTACAGTGGGTAATATTTTCAAGAAACATTGAACAGTGCTACCCAGGGAAAAAAGAAAAGACTCTGAACCCTTTCTTTGCCATTATATAAAAATAGTGTTGCTACAAAAGTATAAATGAGGCTTACTAATAAGACAACTCAGATCTGAAGCTACTCAGGAATCTGCTGCCAAAGTGCAATAAAAAAGACAAAATTAATAGAATCAAATCCTTTTTTTGTTGCATTTTAGTAGAGTTTAAAAATAAATGCCTTTAAAATAGGATGCAAGCAACACTAGTTTCTTAACCTGAATTGATAATAGACTATAATCAATTTAAACAGAACAGATCTTAATGTTTGCATTCTTATACCACTTTGTACAATAATTGTAATGAATAAGTTCAAACAAACAAAAACTTACAGCTGATTAATAACGGTATCTAACTTGAGTTTTTATTATATCAAAAACCTGTTGAAATGCTACTGTTATTTTTACTGTCCCCCAAAAGCGCGTCGGCAGCCTCCAGGCGAAGTTGTGAAAGCTTCTTTCACAACTTCGCCGTCTTTGAAAGACTTCATGTGTTTCTCCAGAACGTGACTGACACGATAAGATGCTCTGGTAGCAGCCTTGCTCTTGTTGTTGGGCCTGGTGAAAATGGACTGCTGTGCATTTAGCTGTCCTTTCAGGCCCCTCCCCTTTTGGGAGCGTTGGGCAGAATTAGGAGGGAATTCCGTCTCGTAGCGTTTGTGCACTGTTTTGAAATGCCGCTCCTAAATTACCCTTCTTCGATAAAGCCACGCTCGCATTGCAGATGAGACAGATGGACTTTGAATTGGAATAGATACACAAATAATCATCCTCCCACTCGGAGTGAAAATTATATATTTTGGGCTTTTTTGCTTCTGCCATAATTGTGGTCTTGTGTGACTGTCACTCCTGTTGACACGGACAAAGTCAGCGAAATAGTGCCCACTGCTCACCAGCCACGCCCCGACACATGGGGTCACGCCGGCCAATCACAAAGCTTTGATGCGTTCAAGTGCATTATTCTGGCACGGGAAGATTATGTTATAGGACATTAACGATAAAACAGAATGTTGTTGTTCTATTTTTAGACACATCTCGCGATCGACTGGGAATCTCCCCGCGATCGACCGGTCGATCGCGATCGACTGGTTGGGCACCCCTGCACTAGATAGTAAACTAGAATGCTTTTCAGCCATAAACCTTGAACAATTAAATTCAATGATTCTCTCTTCTAAACCATCAACGTGCATGTTAGACCCAATTCCAACTAAGCTGTTGAAGGAAGTTTTTCCATTAATTAGCACTTCTTTATTAAATATTATGAATATGTCTTTATTATCAGGCTATGTTCCACAATCATTCAAAGTAGCAGTGATAAAACCGCTTCTTAAAAAGCACAACCTCGATCCAGAGGTTTTAGCCAACGATAGACCTATTTCTAATCTTCCGTTCCTCTCAAAGATTCTTGAGAAAGCGGTCGCAAAACAGCTGATTACTTAAAAAACAATGATTTATTTGAAGATGTTCAGTCTGGCTTTAGAACACATCATAGCACAGAGACAGCTCTGGTTAAAGTCACAAATGACATTCTAATAGCCTCAGACAAGGGACGTGTCTCTATTCTTGTTTTGCTCGATCTCAGTGCTGCATTTGATGCTATCGACCATGATATCTTATTGCAAAGACTAGAGCACTTAGTTGGCATACAGGGAACTGCTTTAGGCTGGTTTAGGTCCTATCTATCTGAACGCTCTCAGTTTGTACGTGTCAATGATGAATCTTCCACGCAAACCAAAGTTAGCCATGGAGTGCCACAGGGCTCAGTGCTCGGACCTATTTTGTTCACATTATATATGCTTCCGTTAGGCAATATTATAAGGAATCATTCTGTACATTTTCATTGTTATGCGGATGATACTCAACTATATTTATCAATCAAGCCTGATGAAATTAATCATCTAAATAAAATTCAAGACTGCCTCAAGGACTTAAAAACGTGGATGACCTTAAACTTTTTGATGTTAAACACGACCAAAACTGAAGTTATTGTACTTGGCCCGAAGAATCTACGAAACAAATTATCTAAGGATATACTAACTATGGATGGCATTAATCTGGCCTCCAGTGAGACTGTAAGGAATCTTGGTGTTATATTTGATCAGGATTTATCCTTTAACGCCCACATAAAATCAATTTCAAGGAGCGCCTACTTCCATCTACATAACATTGCAAAAATCAGGCATATCTTGCCTCAAAACGATGCAGAGAAACTAGTCCATGCATTTGTTACTTCAAGGCTGGATTATTGTAACTCCTTATTATCAGGGTGTACCAAGAAGTCAGTCAAGTTGCTTCAGCTGATTCAAAATGCTGCAGCTCGTGTACTAACCAGAGTTAGGAAAAGGGACCACATTACTCCTGTTCTGGCTGCCTTACACTGGCTCCCTATAGAACACAGGATAGAATTTAAAATTCTTCTTCTCGCCTACAAAGCCCTTAATGGGCAGGCGCCATCTTACCTTAAAGAACTCATTATACCCTACTGTCCTACT